AACTAAATGTCCAATACTGGTTAAAACAAGCACAGTGTAGCTGTAAGATAGACGATGAAGTAGATTCCACACCTACTAAAGCAAAAATATGTCTTGCTACATTAAAAAAAAGCATGCCAAAACACTAGGATGACATGTTTGTAAATAATTATATCACTTCCATATGAAAATCGTTTAAAAAAAAACCAAAAAACTCTACATAGCACTCCGTGAGGGGAAAAACAGCATTTGGGAAGGGTACATACCTGAAATGCCAATTGAGCATCTCTCTCCAATAGTTTTCTTTTCCTCTAACATTTTTTTGTATTAAAGGTTTTACAAAGAGCACATACTAATTTTTTAAAAATTTCAGCTGGTACTTATTTTAAAAATAAGTCAAAATATTAATAAGTTAAAGACAAGTCAAAATATTTGCTCAATTATTGAGCTCCTGCTCCTTACTTTTAAAAAAATTGTGGTACGCAAGAGAAAAACTCAATTTAATTCAAGTTGGAGGGTGGTGGGAAGGTAGGAATGGGGGGATTGGTGTACTCTCACCTAATGGCCGTAACGTAAGGGTAGACGGCACACCGCCTGGGACCTTACATAACAAATGCAAACATTATAACCTAATCGTTTGTACCCTCATATTAATCTGAAATAATAAATAAAAAATGGGGGCAAAATTCATTAAACTTAAAATTCATCCTCACTTATTTAAGCTGTTTCTTCCTCCGTGTGCCTAATTTACATGACTGCTCACCACCTTCGGAAATGTCCTGAGTTCTATCATGGGGAGTGCAGATTTTTAACTGACTTATGTGAATCCTCATCCTCTCTCAACCCTGAATCCGGTTAGCTCAACTTTGCTATAGCCACACGCAGCATGATTAAAGTGAAGCAAACACCATCCAATACGAGCCACATCGGATTTCTTCCACTTCTCTTCTGGTGAGGATCCTGTTTTCTAGATTCCACAACTTCTTTTCCTCAATTTGTTCCATCTTTTGGGTGGTGCACATCCTCCACTAACTTCCAGAAAAAGAACACAAGGGAAGTGAGCTGAGAAAGGTTTCTTTCTACCTTCACGTGGGACTGATAGTCTGGTTGGGTAGAGTATTCTAGCTCAAAAATGTAATTAGAAGTGTCATCTCGCCATCTTTCTATTTCCAACGTCACTGAGACTCTCCGTGCCAGTTTTATTCCTGATCCTTGGACTTGTTTTAATTTTTCCCTATCTAGAAGTTTTTAAGATCTTCATTTTATTGCCAGTGTTCAGAAATTTCACCATGATAACCATGTTATGGGTCTCTTTCATTATTATGCTAAGCCTTGGCAGGTGTTTTTAACCTAGAAATAAATTCTTCAGTTATGAGAGATTTCTTCTATTATTTCTTTGTAATTCCCTTTATTATAATCTTTTCTATTTTTTTCTTCTAAATGTTGGGACTTTTTGGATTTACTTTCTAATTTTTCATTTCAGTCTCTCACCCATATTCTATTTTAAAATTTTATTTTCGGCTCGGCGCCTGTGGCTCAAGTGGCTAAGGCGCCAGCCACATATACCTAAGGTGGCGGGTTCGAATCCAGCCCAGGCCCACCAAAACAACAATGATGGCTGCAACCAAAAAATAGCAGGGCATTGTGGCAGATGCCTGTGGTCCCAGCTACTTGGGAAGCTGAGGCAGGAGACTCACTTGAGCCCAGGAGTTGGAGGTTGCTATGAGCTATGATGCCATGGCACTCTACCCAGGGGGATAGCTTGAGGCTCTGTCTCAAAAAAAAAAAAAAAATTATTTTCTTAGAGAATTCCTTACCTGTCTTCAAAACTTTTTCAGATTTTTAAACATTGTATATATCATTCTTAAAATTTTTAAGATTGGCCTTGTTCTTCAATTTTTTTTTTTTGAGACAGAGTCTCATTTTGTCACCTTGGTAGAGTGCTGTGATATCACAGCTCACAGCAACCTCAAACTCTTCGGCTTAAGCGATTCTTTTGCCTCAGCCTCCCAAGTACCTGGGACTATAGGCACCCACCACAACACCAGGCTATTGTCTTTTTTTTTTTTTGAGACACAGTCTCAATCTGTTGCCCTGGGTAGAGTGCCATGCTGTCACAGCTCACAGCAACCTCAAACTCCTGGGCGTAAGCAATTCTCTTGCCTCACCTTCCCAAGTAGCTGGGACTAGAGGTGCCTGCCACAATACCCAGCTATTTTTTTTTGTTGTAGCTGTCATTGTTGTTTAGTAGGCCTGGGCTGGCACTGTAACCACTGAGCTACGGTGCTGAGCCTTTAATTTTTTATTTTTAAAGATAAGGTCTCACTTTGTTGCCCAGGCTGGAGTGTAGTGACACAATCACTGCTCACTGTAACCTCAAATTCCTCAATCTCCCTACCTTAGCCTCCTAAGTAACTAGGAATACAGTCGACACCACCAGGCCTGCCTAATGTTCTTTATTATTTTTTGTAGAGTTATAGGCTGGTCTTGAACTCCTAGGCTTAAGTGATCCTCCCACCCTGGCCTCTAGAATATGGGATTACAGACAGGAACTGCTGGGTCCAGCAGTATCCTACCTTTATTTTATGGCCATACCATCCTTTCTTGAGTATACAGAATATAATTTTTTTGGCATTTTTTCCAATCTCTGTTTCTTCCAAGTTCTATTTTTTCTATCTGTTTTTCCTTTCATGTTGTAGGCCTTCCACAAAGGTCTGGTGACCTTTGACTATTCTTTCATTTTGTCTTTAAGACAATTTAGGGGTACACAGGATGTACCATTATAAGCGTATAAGTTTGATGAGTTTTGATAAATACGTACAGCCATCGGACCACCAATACAGTGAAGATACAGAGCATTTCATCACCTCACAGATTTCCCTGACCCTTTTCCAATCAACTCTCACCTTCCTAACAACCTGCTAATTTGATAGCATCATTGATTAATCTTCCTGAGTTTCATATACATGGAATCATGTAACACTAGGCAGCCTTTTGTGTGTGGCTCCTCTCCTTTTGCTAATGCATCTGAGATTTGCCCATGGGATTATGTGAGCAGTTCCTTCCTTCCCCTTGCCGAATGCTATTCCACTGCATGCATGCGCCACCGTTAGTTTATTTTCCGGCTGATGAACATTTGGGTTGTTTCCAGTGTTGGCTATTACGAATAAAGCTGCAGGGAATACTTGTGTACCAATCTGTGTGGACACGTGTCCATTTGTTTTTGAGAACGAGATGTTAGAAAGCTATTTGATGTCAAGTGTACACAGGTGGGCAAGGTGGGCTCAATGACAGTGACCAAGTGGTTGGCAGGCCTGCTCTGAGTTGGGCTCCAGAAAGCTTGTGTCTCTTTGTGGGAGATGAGTGGCTTACTTTCTCCAGAGAAAGCACTCCTTCCCAGAGTCATAAGCCTAGCAGAATTAGGATGCAAAGAGGTCAGAGCAGCTTCTTAGTCAATAAAGACATCCGTTTAATCCATTTCTGTCTAGCTCCTCCCACCCCTGTGCTGGTCTACCCACCCAAGCCCCTCTGTTTCTGAAGCCTCTCAAGAAAAGAAACTCCTGATCCCTGCAGGGCTGATGGGCTGTGGTGGACACCTGAGCCCCAACCCTTCCTTACACGAACTCTCCAATAAGCCTCCACTTTGTCTCCTGAACATCCCAGTGCCTTTGGGACACATCCCCTGCTCTGGCCTCCACCACTCACGCACAGGTGTGACCAGGCTCCTCTCTCCTGTTTGCTATTTCTTCATCTGCTCATTGGCTTCCTCCTCCCAGGTGACGTCTAGGGGTTGCAAAAATGCCCCACTGTCCAGAGTTTGTGTTTTTGTTTCTTATTTGTCCTGATGTTTCAAATGATTTAAAATAAGGAAGTATTTGGAAATATGTTTACTCTGCTGGCATGAAAATAAAGTCCTGGAAGTCAGTTCTGTAATTTGTAAAAAGCAATAAAGTTCTTCTGAGATGGAGGTGGGTTGATGTGGGAGTCCTAGCAGAGTTAGAGGCAGCTTCTCCCCAAACCACCCATTCCGAGTATACAGTACAGTATGCAATCCCCACGGCAGAACCAGCAACCAAGTCAAGGTTGGAGAAACCCTCTGAACTTGTTTAGGGAAATTTAATCTAAAATGGGAACATTTACACAGTTTACTATTACTATGATAATAATGTACTTACACTCTTATGGGTTTAGCAATTTGTCCAGGTCTTTCTTGTGGGGGAGAGGGGTTTAACTGCCTTGACCTTCTTTGTCTCTCAAACAAGCAATAACCCCTCCATATAGCACAAGAGAAAACTGGTTCAGCAAGGTTAAGCAGTAGGCTCAAGACTACACAAGTAGCTTGGTGCAGGCAGGAGTGGAACCCAAGTCATCTGACCCCTCAGGAGGTGCCTGGTTTATGGCACACCACCTCCTAGTCATTGTTGCCAGGCTGCTGACAGATACTGATCACCAACAAGGGAAGGAGAGAGGAGCACTGGGTAGCATCAGGCACCCACAGCTAAGCTACAGGAATGCCACGCTTCTGTAACCCCAGCCTTGGCAATTCTAATCCATTTTTTAGTATCTTCTCATCTGATCCTTACTGAGAAGAGGACACAGGTGTCATGACCACCCTTTTCTTAAAGGACAGAGGGTTAGAGATCCCAACTCAATCACGCAAGGCCTTAGAGCCAACAGTGACAAAGCTGAGCCCTAAGCCCCGTTGTTCTCCTAGTGAGGTGGGTGGGGGGTAGGCAGCCTGTGCCTCCGTGCCAGTGGCTCTGGGTGGGCTCACCTCCCTATCCCAAGCCACTTGCCAAAAGCACACCTCTAAGGGGGGTACCCCATGATAAGGAGACCAGAGCCCCCTGAGGTCCCTCCCCACCCACATTAGTTCACACCTCCTTCAGGGCCCCATCACCTCAGAAACACTGCAGCGGGGGTGGCAGCAACAGCAAGTTCTTTGAGACAAACCTACGCTGGTGGTAATGTTTTTATTTTTAAGCACATATTTTTTTAAAACCAAACAAAAAGATACCTACCTAAGCTGAATTCTAAAATGGGCTCATCCGGATCTTGTATATTTCCTGAATAGAAAAAAGTGACAAAAAAATCACCCTTAATAAACTTTCCTGTTCGCAGATTTAATGCCAAAACACCAACACTCCACTTTCTTCCCCCCAGAATGTTGTTATGTACGGTGATTTCTTATTTTCTACATAGTTTGCTTTTGAAATTCCTAAGAAGTCTCAGACCTCACAACCACAGCCTCCTCTCTACCTTGGTTGACGCGCCCACAACAGGGTTTTTGCCACAGCCTGGGCACTTGCCAGATAGGCACTATGGATTCCATACTGGCAAAGGAGCCCTGGAGGCACCCACCTGAGCTGGAAAACTTGACAGCATTCAGGTTCCAGCAGAAGGAGTTTCCAAGAAGGGGACTGACTGCCCCTTCCTATTCCTTGGTTCAACCAGGTGCCACACCAGGACACCCCATAGCCTGGGGTAGTTGGGGGGCATTCATCCTGTCTGCTGGGTGCTGCTACAGTCTGGGGTGCACGTGCCATGAGCTCATACCAGGAGCTGGGTGCAGGCTCTGAGGCTCACCTGCCAGAGAGAGGCCCAGCATGTCGCCCGCCACATCGATGGTGGAAGCCCGCTGCATGGCACGGGCCCTGGCGCCATGGCGAGGGCTCTGCTCTCTTGCTGTCATGATGTCATTGGTGATGATATGCTTCCTCTTCCTGGATCAGACCACGCCTGATTCCCTGGGAAGCGCTGTTACCAAGCCCTAGTCCTCTAAGGTGGCAGTAACCCTGAGAAATAGGAACAAACACAGATAAGAAACCATGGGGATGAAACACTGGGCTCTCAAGGACGGAGAACAGGACCTAACGTGGCTGAGCTCAGCTTCCTCTGGCAGGTGAGGAACTGGGGTGGAGTGTCTCCTGCTCTTGGCCCCTACTGGTGCCCATGTCCTTCCCACTCCCCAACATAGGATGCCCATAGGATCCTGTAAGGATATCGAGTCCTCTTCAGTGAAGTTATGCCACAGTGAATGAATGAATGTATACAATTACAAATGCAGCTTTTGGGATTTTCTTGCTCACTTTCTTATGCTCTTCTGTTGATGAGTCTCACAGAACCTTTAAAATTTTAAATCAGTTCACCACAGCTCTGTGAGAAGGGTAAGAGCCACCAGAGAATCTGCTGCCCACAGGCTCCACCCATGCGGTGGAGCACTGGTGAGAAAGCTCCCATCTCTGACCTGCTTGCTTTCTTCCCAGACCTACACAAACTTCCTGTGTCTCAGTCTCAGCCTTTCTTTCCCAGAAAGCACGTAAGTGATAATCCAGGATGGTGCTGTGCAGAGAATGGGGAGGACTCTGGGCAAAACTCCACTGCAGCTGAGTCAGACAGAGCCTGAGTGGCATGGCTCGGAGCTCACATTTGCTCGCAGAAGTAGGTTAAACAGCAAGAAGCAACTTTCAAGGTTCTCCAACCCTATGTGCTACAATTCCTGCTGTCTCTAGAAGGAACAATCTTTAGAAGTAAAGATAATTAGACTGAGCAATATGGATGGTTTAAAACATGCCTACAGGTCTCCATGTATCCAGAGACATCCCTGTCTTCTCAACGGGTGTCCACACCTCTGCACCTGATGGGCCTGGGCTCCTGCGCTTGTGTTAATTCACCAGTGACTTACTGGACATGTTTGCTCTTGGACCACGCGGCATTTCTTCATAGAAGCACGTCCAAATCCATCATCTAAAAACAGAAAAGTATAAACTTGAGAAAGTATTAAAACATAAAGTTCCTGGAAAACAATGCCTAGAAATGTGGGGAAGCCCAGAGCCTCTTCATTTCTGAGCTCCACACCACAATCCAATCTTTTGGATCAAAAACACAAATTTTGCTTCAACCCAAAATGAGAAAGTGCATATTCCTCTCCCCTGCAGGAGTGGTCTGTTGGGGGAGTCTGGGCCTGCCCTAAAGAGCCAGTGGACAGCTAGGTATGGCTTAAGGAAAAGGCGAGAACAGGCATCTGAGTTCTACTTTCCCCACTTAGAAAGTACAGGCTCCAGGAAAAACTGCAGGACCCTCTGAGGCTCTGCTCTTCAGGGCCTAAGGGGCCAGTTGCACCCATCTCACAGGGCTGCAGGAGAAATCAAATGAACAAGAAAAGGAGAGCGCTGTGCACATCCCACTGGGTTCCCACGATGCTGCTGCTGCTGCCTACCCGCAGGTGCCGTCCTATAAAGCTGAACACCCAGGACCCACCCGGCCCCAGCACTGCACTGTGCTACTGGGGCAGTCCCACCAGGTTCACCAGCCATCTGGATGTGCTCAGAAGAGCAGTGCACTTGGCCAGAGGCAGACTCAGTTTCACTTGCAGGCTGTGCTCCTATTCCTGCCACTAGGGGCGCCTAGGGACCTTCAGCCTAAGCACCTCAGCAGAGAGGGCAGTGGCCTGGCTGGGGGGCTACAGTAAACATCACCCAGGGTAAGATTCGCTGGTTTGTCAATGTCAAAAGGTGTCCAAGGCAAACAACACGCAACACAAATGGTGAAAGTGGGAAAGTACTCGTGGCACTAACATTTTACAGTAATGCTTGTACAAATTAACTCACCAAAATGCAAGTGGCAAGAGGTATGAATTCATGAAAGGCAAATACATATGGTAAACATTTTGGAAAAGTGACCAAATGGATTAATAATAAAGCAATGCTAAATATATCTGTCTTCACCTAAATTAGTCCTCTAAGAGGTTATTTGTTCTTTTAGTAGATTATGCACTGCTGGAGGACCTGGTGGAAACTATATAGTGCTCTCCTATATTGTTGATCACATTTTATTTTATTATTATTATTACTTTTTGAGATGGAGTCTCAGTCTGTCACCTAGGTAGAATGTTGTGGTGTTGAAACTCACAACAACCTCAAACTCTTTGGGCTTGAACAATCCTCTTGCCTCAGCCTCCCAAGAGCTGGGACTATAGACACCTGCCACAACTCCCAGCTAGTTTTCTATTTTAGTTGAGACTGGGGTCTGGCTCTTGCTCAGCCTGGTCTTGAACTCCTGAACTCAAGCAATCCACCCACCTTGGCCTCCCAGAGTGCTGGGATTATAGGCGTGAGCCACCACACCCGGCCCTGTTGATCACATTTTAGAGTGGTGCAAGCCTTCAGAAAGCAATTTGGCATTAACTATCGAAATTTATAAACAACAACAAAATCCTCCCTAATAATCCAGAACATGGAGAAGACTCCTGGGCAAAGTTATACTTATTAGCTTACTGTAGCATTAGTTATAATGACAAAGCAATCTAAATGCCCGCCTACAGGTAAGAATGTTTTGAAACATCCTTAAGATACATTATTCCACAGCAGTTAAAATGATTATAATAAAGCCAGCAAACAGACGAAAAGTTCTTCAGCCTCATTAGTCATCAGGGAGATGCAAACTGAAGCCATGAGACACCTGTGCAGCCCACCAGGACAGGTAAAAAGGAAGGGACAATACCAAGTGTTGGCAGGAAATGTGAGACAACTGGAACTGACTCTCTGCTGGGGGAGTGTAAATGGCACGGCCACTCTGGAAAACTGGCAGTCTGTACTCAAGCTGAACCTATACCTGCTCTGTGACCTGGTACACAACTCGGAACAAATGGCACTGCTAACGTGTATTTCCATGTACATGTTGACCAAAAAGCTGTTTAAAGCAATGGCATCCATAATAGTAAGATATACATACCAGACACAATCCAAGATGAAAAGCCATCCTGATCTAGGCAAGGCCATGTACACAAAACTCAAGGGCAGGCCTATTGAAAGGGTGGAATTAAGACTCAGGAGAGGGAAGCTAGGTGTGGTGCTCACACCTGTAATCCTAGCCCTCTGGCAGGCTCAGACAGGTAGATTGCTTACACTCAGGAGGTTAAGACTAGCCTGAGCAAAAGCAAGACCTCATCTCTACTAAAAATAGAAAAATTAGGGGTGTTGTGGTGGGTGCCTGTAGTCCCAGCTACTCAGGAGGCTGAGGTAGAAAGAACACCTGAACCCAAGAATTTGAGATTGCTGTGAGCTAGGCTAACACCTCGGCACTCCAGCCAGGGCAACAGATTGAGACTCTGTCTCAAAAAAAAAAAAAAGGAATCAGAAGAGGGTTATGTTGGTGGGGTGGGTGTAAGGGGACTTCTGGGGCTCTGGAAATGACCTGTGCACCAGTTCCACAAGTGACTTTGCTGTGTGAAAATGCATAGAGCTACATAGAGGTGATGTGATTCTTATTCCTTAATAAAAAGCGTTATTTAATTCCTTCGATGACTATAATAAAGACAATAGAGCATGAAAAATGTTTATGTAAATTCTAAAACACATGTGTTTTGAAAGAAAAAGATATTGTACAGAAGGAAGGAGCCAGTGGGAGATTTCACCAGGATGATGGTGACATTGGGGCTGTGATTGTAGGGAACTGTTTTCCTTCTTCCCTGTCACACGTTCCTGCATCACTGAAGGTTGCCCCCAGGCTAGCCAGAGGCAGAGGTGCGCCTGGGCAGGACTTTGGCTTGCGGGAGAAGCTGTTCTACTGCCTGGCTGCCCTGCTCAGCCTGATGAAGGTGCCCGTTATCCCCGTCACTTGGGACAGTGATGATACCTACCTAACACAGGGCCACATCTGAACCCCAACATTTTACCAGCTCCAGGGAGGCTCCAATCCACCCCTGTGCCCTCCACCTCCCCCTTCAGGGCCCGCTCCATCTGCCTGCCCTCCTTAGGAAGGGTGGTGTGTGTTAACAGGCACTGTGAGGTTTCTGGACATAGAAATGTTTAAAGGGGAACGTCTACAGACTAATTTTACACGTCAGAGAGTTCACAGGTCAGAGAAACTTTTAGGTCAAAAAGACCTTAGAAATCACTTCACAGTTATTTGAGGCCATTTAATTAGAATACCCAATTTAAGTCATCAAGACCCAGAACATGAAGCTAATTTGCACAACTGAATTTTATTTTCCTTCTTAGTCTCATTAATTTGAGGTAATTCACCAAGGATTCCTATAGTCCCAAGGTCCCATTTTTCCTCCCAGTTCCATTTGAAGACCAGAGCTCATTAGGAAGAGAAACTGCTTAAAGAGGAGAGAGAAGTGTGTGGGAGCTGCCTACCGGGCTGGCATCTTTTCTTTGGTTCAAGAAGAAGAAAAGAAACAGTATCTCCTGAAACCAACTGCCTCCTTTCCTCTCTGTGTTGGGTCATGTGACCCCTTCTGATAGGTGGACCCAAGTCATGGAATGGACATCCTGGTTCCATCCCACTAATGTCCCTTTCACGTGTGGGGACAGGGGAGAGGGTGCAGGGAGCGCTAGTAGACAGCAGGGGTGTTAGGATTCACACTGGTGAGATGGCAAGGACCCTCAGAACCAGTCTTGGAAAGGTCAGTCTGCCCTCCCTGCAGAAGTAAGGAATCTCAGGCCTGAAGTTCCGGAGGCCTCTCTGCCTCAGCAACCTCTCAAGGGCGCCATTGAGCTGGAGGTGAGGGGGTAAGATTATCAACCACGAGAGCTCCACTTTTGTCCATCTTACTCACTGGAGTTCTTCTGAGAATAAATTTTATTATTTCACTTTGCTATTGTATTTTACTTTATTTTTAATAAAATACTTTATTGTATTTTACTTGTTATTTTTTGAGACAGAATCCACTCTGGGTAGAGTGCCATGGCATCACACCTCACAAGAACCTCAAAGTCCTCTTGCCTCAGCTTCTCAAGTAACTGGGACTACAGGCACCTACCACAATGCCCATATAGTTTTTCTATTTTTTTTTTTTCCAGACAGAGCTCACTATGTTGCCCTCGGTAGAGTGCCATGGGGTCACAGCTCACAGCAACCTCAAACTCTTGGGCTTAAGTGATTCTCTGGCCTCAGCCTCCAAAGTAGCTGGGACTATATGTGCCTGCCACAATGCTCAGCTATTTTTTTGTTGCAGATGTCATTGTTGTTTAGTAGGCCCAGGCCGGGTTTGAACCCTCTAGCCTAGGTGGATGTGGACAGTGCCCTACCCACTGAGCTACAGGTGCCACTAAGTTTTTCTATTTTTGGTAGCCTTGCTATTGCTCAGGCTGCCCTCAAACTTCTGAGCTCAGGCAATCCACCCACCTCAGCCCCCCAGAGAGCTGAGATTTCAGGCATGAGCCACTTTTTTAAAGCGTGTGCAGCTTTAAAAACGTGTGCACAGACAAGGTCATGGAAGCACAGACAGGGTGATTTTTTTCAAGGTCACATAGAAGTTAAAAACAAACTATACCTGCTGGGACCCAAAGCAAAAAGCTCAAGTACAATTGGGGGCCCCTCATTGCACCCCTACCCTCTGCTGTCTCTGTGGGCAGCAAACGGGCTGGAACCTTCACTGTGCCTCTGCTCTCCAATCACAGGCAATACAGGACAGAAGAAAGATGAAAAGGTTGAGTGAGACAAAGCATGAGTGAGCAGCCCCTGGGGAAGAGGCTCCTTTAAGAGGCAGAAAGAGGAAGAACTTTCTCTGAAAAACCCCAAATCCAGGACAGCTGAAATCACAGATCAATGAGGCAGATCAGATCAGACCATTCACTGGTACTGAAAATTACTGTTAGTAATGACCTGAGACAAATACCACCTTCCTGCATGGAGCATCTCCTGTAGACAGACCTTTACTAATTGGGGATCTCCTGATACAGCCAACCCAGTCTGTACCTCATGATAATGTACTGCCACCTGTGACCATGGAACGACCA